TGCGGCGGGCCGGGCCGGCGGCGGGGAGCGCGCCCGGGGGGCGGCCGCGGCCTCCCCATCCCTCCTCCACACGGCCGTGTTGCCTTTGCCCCCCAGGTGCACGAATCGTCCCCGCAAGGTTCCGAATCCTCCCCGGCCGCCAGCTCCGGCTACGAGTCCTCCACCCCGCCGGGGCTGGTGTCCCCTAGTGCCGAGTCGCAGAGCACCAGCAACCTCTCCCCGGCGGCGGCGGCGGCAGCGGCAGCGGCGGCGGCCGTGTCCGCCGTTCACCGGGGCGGCGGCGGCGGCAGCGGCGGCGGCGGTGGCGGCCACAGCGGTCTCTCCTCCAACTTCAATGAATGGTACGTGTAGGGCCCCGCCGGACTGCTCTGCACGGCCCCGCAGCGCCCTCCCCGCCCCGGCGGCGGCGGCGGCGGGCAGGAGGGAGCGAGCGAGCCCGCCGGAGACGCACCGGGAGGTGCCGCCGCACCCGCCAGCAGCGAAATGACGGCCGAACAGGATGGGGACGGGGGACCTTCATCTCCCCACACCCTCCCGCCTTCGCGTCTTTTTTTTTTTGTTGGATTTTTTTCTTTCTTTTTCTTTTTGAGAACGTTTCGAACCAGCAAAAAATAATCTAAAAAGTACGTGCCGAAAAACATAAAAGAATGGGTAAATCTATAGAGGAATGGAAAGGAGAGAGAGAAAGAGAGGAAAAAACCAACCCCAAACGCCACCAACACATCCCTCAATAAAAAGCTTCCCAAGCCGATGGAAAGAAACTCTCCCTCCAGAGCCTTCAGACAAAAGATCAGAGACTCAAACTCCTCTGGCCCCTGCGCCTCCCCGCCAGCGCAGCCAGCGCCCTCCCGCCCTACGAACTGTGTATATAGCGGCCCTCTCCTTCCTCCGGCGAGGTGGGGAACGAGGTTTTCCTGGATTCTCGGTGTATAGAAGTTCGTCCCGTTTGTAAACCGCGGATTGGTCCCTTTCTTCTTCCTTTTTTTTTTCCTTTTTTGTAAGTCTTTTTTTTTCCCATCTTCCTCCCTCCCTGAGAAAGTGAAGGACTTGTTTTCTTTTGTCCTGGTCTCCTTCCCCACCTCCCTCTTTTCTTCCTTTTTAGTTCACCCTTTTAAAAAAAGTAACGTGGAAGAAAAAAATTGTTTCTTTTGTAATTGTGATATCTTGAATATTGTGTTCCTTTTTAAGAGGCAACTTGATTGTAAACTGTATTTCAACTATAGACTGGGGAAGAAATACCGTGCCAAAGTCTCCATTCTGTTACTTACAGACACTCACACAAACAACAACGCTTGTGAATGTATTTTTCTGTTAGCTGGGTTTATATGTGACGTTTTAGTGCTTTTGCAAGTTCAATTTGTTAGTTCCTGTTCGGAAGATTGTGAGGAAAAATAAACGTTGTGCCGTTAGCTTTTCTGTAATAACACCCTTCCTCCTGTAAATACCTGTTACCATATTTATCCATTTGTAATTAAATTATGGTATTAACTTGCTACAGAGGAAACAGTATTTATAAAGAATGTTTCTTAACTATAAATATGTACAATTGTGAGCATAAACTGTTTCAGATTTTTTATTTGAAGGTTTAAGTGGTTTCATCATTTCTTGTGATATGTTTTGAGAGTAATGCATACAGAAATATAATAAAACGTGTTGAAACTGCACGAGCTGTTTCCTTTTTATGCCAAGGGCTTTCTGAAACCTGCTGTAACTCATGTGATGGGCTGAGTGGCGACTGCAAAACAAATGCTTTTAAAACATCCGCGAGTTACAGGAACAGGAGGATATATTCCAGCTGGGCTCCCCTGTACAGAAAAACAAAACCAAACCAAAACAACAACAAAAAAGCTACAAAGCCACCCAACACTTTAGGAAGCCTCTGAGCTGAAAGAAAAGGGTGAAGATATGCATATTTCCCAAATAACTTGCAAGGCAGGATCTCCTTTAGTAAGAGTTACACGGCGAGACCACAGCTTTCTCCGCCTCCTGCCTTACTCGGGCTCACCCTTCTCTCTCCGGTGCGTGTCTCATTACCCCACAGGGTGACAAAACGGAGCGTTTCGGGACGGAGGTGGAGGCGCAACAACTAGAAGCTGAGCTCGGCTGCTTTGAGCTGTAGATCGTGTCCTTCTGCGCCTCTCGTCTTTTTGGCAGCCTCCATTAAATCCTGGAGAGGAGAAAGTTGTGATGCCCGAGAGCTTACACTTCTCCTTCGAGATTTTTTTGCCCCTCTCTTTCTCCTTTTTTTTTTATTTTTTTATTTTTTTTTAATTTTCAGCCCAGGGAGCGGTTTGGGCTGTCAGATGTGTTCAGGGAGGGACTGAGAGCCGCCGGGAGATGACTTTCCCGGGGTGCTGACCCAGAGTTTCGCTCCGCGCAGGCCATCGGAGCCGCCCGTGTGGGGTCGGCGGACAGCAGCTCTCCGGGCACAGCTCACCAAACCGGGACAGCCAAGGCGAGTGTTTCAGCAGCCAGGATGTAGTGGAAAAAAGTAAAAAAGTTCGGCCTTGTCAAGCCACCGAAATACGCCTTGCGAAGAGGCAGCGCTGCGAGTCGGGCTCCGAGCGCCCTGCGGTGGCTGCGCTGCCTTCAGCGACGGCTCGTGCAGTCGGGGAGAACCCTCTGCTCCTCACACCCGGCGAGCCCATCGCTTACGCCCCCCAGGGCCGCTCGTCGGTTTGGGTTTTTCGGGCTTTGTCCTGCGTATTCAAACATCAATACAGATGTCTCGAGTCGCTATGAGGTAGTTGGGTGGGGAGAGGAGGGTACACGGGGCCCTGATCACTTCTGGGGTGAAGTGGAGGTTACCCGCACCCAGGAGAAGGGGAGGAGGGAGGGAAAGACACTCTGCTCCGTCCCGTTGCTGACAAGGAAGTTTAGATGGGAAGAGGAGCCGAAGCTTCCTCGGCGGCTGTGCTCCTCCCAGCGTGGCCATCCCCGCGCACACGGCAGCTCTTCGGGTAATCAAAAGGCTATTAAAGCCTAATTTATGTTCCGTAATAATATTACGTAAAAAATATTTATTAAAATCACTGGCATATGCCGCCTGCCCCTTGGAGACATCTGTGGGAAATGCAGCTGCGAGGATCCCTCCTTGTCCTGCCGGCCTCCCCGCAGCCGAAAAACCAAACGGGGATCCCGCTTCATAGCCAGTCCCTGCCAGCCACCGTCTGCCCAAATTCCCTCCCGCGCCCGGGGGCGCACGAGTAGCCCTGCCCAAGGGTGACCAAACCCGCTCTGCTGTCTTCCGCCCCGGTGGGCTAGCTCCGGCCGGAGAGAAGCGCTCCGGATCTGGGCTCCCCTTCTCCCTTCCCTCGGAGCCGTTCTGGCTTAAAGAGAGCCCAGGGGTGATCCTTCCCTCTACCCCTGATAGAGGGGGTGCGTGGGGCAAGCGGCCTCCCTGGCCAAAGGGCAGGTCGTGTCTCTCGGGCAGGGATGCCTCTCCTCCGGCAGGCCCAGGGATGGGACCGTGGTGGCCGTGGCCGTGAGTAAGCTTCCCCCCTTCCCTGTCCTACCCGGGTTGGCCTTGAACTTGACCCTGGCCTTGGCGCATCCAGCACTCCGCCCGCCTCCCCCGGGGCCCTGACCCCGGCCCATCCCTGCCACTCTTTAGGGAGAGTGGTAATTCATCTGGTTCAGGGTTTGGGGTTTTTTTTCGGGGGGGAGGGGGAAGACCATCAAGATCTGCCTCGGAGCCTTGTGCACGGGCGGCCCGGGCTCAGGGACCACTGGCGCTTAAGTCCTCGTCTGTGCCCTTCCTGTCCCCTCTCCTTCCTCCACCTCGCTCCCCTCACCCCAACCTCCTTCCTCCCCACCCAGTTTGTCTCCCACACTGAACCTGAGCTAGCCAAATCTCCCTGCCCTGGCCCTTAAGGCAACCTGGGCACCAAACTGGAGGGAGGCTGGGTGCTTCCCCGGCAGCTCCGACCCTCCCCTGGCACCCCTCCATCCCCCCGTGCCCAGCCGCAGCGGGCGGGTGGCCCGGCTGGTATCCCGTACGCCCCGACGGCTCTGCCCCGACGGCTCTGCCCCGACGGCTCACGGGTCGTCTCGGCCCCACGACCCTCGCCGCCGGTGGGCAGCGGAGTGCACGGCGCTGCCCCGCTGTCAGCACCCCGTGCCCGGCTGTGGCAGCTCCAGTTGGCCGGCTTTCCCGCGGCGGCGTGATTCTTCCTTTATACCGTGAAAAGCAGCGTGGAACAGTGGCTTTAATTTTTATTTTTATTGTTAGTATTACTATTAATAATAAAATTCTCTCCTAAGTCTTCCTGGAGACACTCTGAAAAGGCAGATTGATTTCCCTGGGAATTGTTCGTTCCTCGTGCGCTCCTCTTCAAGCCAGAAAAATTGAGGCTCCGTCCATAAAACAGGTTGTGCTTTCCCCCCGCAGCCGCAATTGGAGGGCAGCTCAGGACTCTGCCTTCACCTGCCCCCGCTGCCGATACCGAATAAAATCCTCTGCTTTACCTGGTTTGGCTGCTCTAGTGGCTTTGTGTTGCAGCTGGTGGTGCCAAAAAAAAACTCAACCCAAACCCAAAGGCAAACCAACCGCCCAACAAACAAACAGAGATGACAACAGCCCAAACCGAAATAGAATAAAATGCAGGAACTCACGCTCGAACCCGAGCGCGAAACGGCTGCCGAGCCTGGCGGTGCCGCTGACGCTGCCGGTCCTGGCGGGGCTCCGCAGCAGGCAAGGAGCTGCCCCTGCCCGGCCAAACCCCGGCCGCGGGTGCCCGGGGGCAGTAGCCCCGGCTGCACCCCCTTCGTTTGGCTCTGGGAAGTGCCCCCGAAACCCATATCAGCCTCTTTGTTTTCAGAAACTCGTACGCGTTTCCTGCCCGCTATGAAGACATAGCAGGCTTCCCCAAACATCTCCCCAGCCGCACGTGCACGCTAGACGTGCTCCCGGGCATAACGACGTATGTATAGTTTTTTATTTTTCATCTTATTATTATTTCATCTTATCATGGTTGTATTTTTGGTTTTGGTTGGTGTTGTTTAATCTCGTGAGTCGCTTTTTTCCCCACCTCTTCTCTTTTTTCCCTCTCCTTTTTTTCTCTCTTTCTTTTTTTCTTTCCTTTTTTTTTTTAAATTTTTTTATTTTTTTTTCCTTTGCCCCCGAGCCAGACGGCTAGGGAAGGAGTTGCATATTACCAGTAGAGCAAGCAAGAACTATTGTCCCACTCTGCAGGGCACGGTGCCCCCCTCTGTCCCAAAGTGCAAGTCTTTCCCAGTGCATTGGGTTTTCTCTTTTTTTATTATTTCCTTTCTTTTATTTTTCTTTTTTTTTAAATTTTCTGGAGGGTTTCTTTGCCTTTATTACTTGTGAGGAAAAGAAAAGAGAAAAGAAAAGAAAAGAAGAGAAAAGAAAAAAAGAAAAGAAAAGAAAAGAGAAAAGAAGAGAAAAGAAAAAAGAAAAGAAAAGAAAAGAAAAGAAAAGAAAAGAAAAGAAAAGAA